GAGCACAGGACAGTGTTCACCTCTGTCCTCTCAGCAAAATAGCTAGACAGCAGTCCCTGTCTGATGGGCATACCTGCTACCCCAAGGCTGACCCCGTCAGGCACCCCGCAGACTTCTCTAGCATGCGCTGCTCCTACTAGCATGAGAGTGCTCGTCTGAGATAACTAATCATGGGATCTATCATTTGTTGATATGACAACAGTGTCCTGATCATGCCTAGGAGTCCTTAGGCCTCTACTCTGTTATCCCAGCTTCTTTCTGCCCCAGTTACAGGGTACCAGGACTGTCCTGCTGGAATCAGGAAGACTTTGATAAGGAGGTAAAAAGGTAGTGATGATGCTCATAGGGAATGCCTGTAAGTCAAGTCCTTGTATTAACTGGAACAACTCTTTCCATACACTCAAGTCTTCTCCATTCTAAGGGCACAAAGGCACGGAGAGGGGGAACGAGGCCAGAGACCACAGGTGACCCCAACAGCCAGCTGGGTCTGACCCTAGGCTCTGGCCGCTATGCCAAGTTACCTGGAAAGCTTGACATCCTTAGTCTTTGCTTTGGGACTCACTCACATGTGCAACACACATAGACAAGCAGAACGTGCAAATTCTGACAGGGGGAGAGAGAAAAGAAAAGCTCCAGCACTAAGGATACTACTTCACGATACTAACGATATTGTGAAGGCCAGAGGACAGTGCCCTTTACAGGCCAGTAGTAGGCATGAGACTTGGGAGGTGGGAGCAACCCAGGAACCCAGATAGACCACGGCTCGGGGAGCCTCGTCAAAGGTGTGGCAGCAAAGGTTTCTAAGGCTAGAAGCTAAGGAAAACTTATTGGAGAAAACAGTGGGACAAACAGAATAAAGGTTGGGACTCTAACAAGATCCCCGAGTCTGCTTCTTACCCCACATCTACAAGGTATGATGCTGGGGAAGACTGGTACTGAGCAAAGACTGTTATAGGACCATAGATGTAGAAAGCAAGAGGAGCATCATGGGTAAGGGAGGAGAGCAGAGAGCTTCAGGAAGCTGGACAAGGAGGATTAGCATGATCAGTTGCTACACTCTGGAGCAGCAGCTTTAAAAAGAGGAATGATTGGGGAGGAGGCTAGCTTCCAGAGTCCATTCACAAGGGTTGGCCCCTAGGACCAGCTCCAGCAAAAACTGCTCTTCAGAGCCACTATGCCCCCATGAAGAGAGACTGGGCATGTAGCCTAGATGCTCCAAGGTTGTGTCAGATGAGATGGGGCCACTAACTTCTTCAGCTGGAGCCTTTCTCCAAGAAGTAAGGCCCTCAAGGGCCCCATGCCTTGCCAACATATCAGCTTGGCTCCTCCCTCTCTTGTCTGCAAGGAGTCAGCTCCTGAGACTGACTGATGACCCTGAAGTTTGGAAGGGGAGATGGCTATGAGATGGTATGAGCAGTATGACAGGAACTATCTGAGGGGCCTGGCAGCTAAGCGTCCATGATGGGCTAGTGTCCCTGTCCAGCCTCCTGATGCTGACTCATGAAGGATGAAGCTCCTGGAGGAATGAATGAACTGTTCTTGGCCTCAAGGTTTCTGGTCTAGTTTTGGTGGGAGGGTCTTCATTCCTCAAGGGGAGGTGCTGTTGACTCTCTACACCAAGAAGAAACTGACCTCAGAAGGTCTTTACGGAAAGCTCCTGGACAGAACGAGAAGAGCAGACTAGACTCTAGGGCCACTAGCAAGGAAGTCCTCCCCTAGGTTCTTCTGCCCAGCTCCTATAAGCCAGACCCATGCCTGAGGCTGATGGGGCCGGAAGATGGGTATGCTGATGGCTTGGGAGCCACTGGTCTGCAAGCTAGAGGCTTAGGCAGCTATAGAAGATAAGTGAATAGGAAGCAGACTCCCAAGAGATGAGGAAGCTCGACCCAAGCGAGGCTACAAACATGGGGGGGGGGGTGTCCTAACACCCTTCCTGCCAGGTAGAAAGCAGCTCCAGTTTCCAAGCCCACCTCTCCTTTGTTCGTCCTAACAGCCCCTGAGGACTGAGCCGACAGACAAGACTGGGGTCAGCAGAGAGCTTTTTGGACCTCCATATACGACTTGTTTTTCCAATAGCTTTGCCACAAAAGCTACACCTCCCCATCCATCCCCATCGTTACCAACACCAAGCAAGCCTGCCCCACTGACACAGGTACTCAGAAAGATGAACACTAGACTTGTCTATGAAAGGATGCTAAGTTCATGGCCTCCTGGCGCTGGCCTCAGTCTGGCCTGTGACCCTCTTGGCCCTACCTGCCACAGTTCCCTACAGATATGGTCACGACCTGTGGCCTGGCATTAGTGATGCTCAACCTGGTAAACCTCCAAGTTCACTCCCTTCTCTGGACTCTGGAATGGGTGCTCACCACAAGGATGGAGCAGGCAGAGGACCTGCTCCACCAGAAGCCCTGAGGAACAGAAGAACCCAACTGGGCATGCCCAGAAGTGCCCAGTTCCCATGACTTACCCTCAGCCTTGAAATGCGACTTAACTCACACTCCTCCTTCCCAGCCTACATTCTCTAAACCCACTTGGCCTTCTCCTGTCCTCCAGGAAGGTCCTCAACCCCAGGTGGCCATCCTAGACATACTCTGAGTTGGTTTGTCTTGATGCCCACCTACCCAGAGCCACCTCCCCTTCCAAACTTCAGAAGAGAGAGGGAAGACCGGCCACCCCAGAGCTCAGGAGGTCCAGGGCTAAGCACTGCTTTATCTGAGCTGAAGTCAGGGAAGTAACAACCAGGATGGAGAAAGGACGGAGCAGCCTCTTCTCCTTAAAGACCTCGGTCCCCAGAGCCCTTCTGGTCCCCACTGGCTTCTCCTCCACACTGTGAAGTGCTACAGTCTCAGTCATACCCTGCACGTGCTAAGCCCAGGTAGAAGGGCAGCAGGAGAGAGTTGTGGCTGTGTGCTCACCTGTGAAGTTGTGCTAGCCCCTCAAACCTCCAGAGTCCAGGAGGCTCGCCTTCAATCTTGCCTCCTGCTCCCTAAGAGTCCTAATCCCAGAGGTACCAGCCCCTGATTGCAGGAGTGGACACCACTGGGTTCTAGGAAACTCTTAGCAGGGCACTAGAGGAAACTATGGATCCAGAACATTTGGGAAGGAGTACTTCCTTAGGGAGCATGGCAAGAAAGGTGGTCAGCTGGCCACAGGGCTACCCATAAAGCCTGATATTCTTGTTCTGTCTATGAGAAATGCCCTCCCTCATTCTAGGTCTAGAACTGGGTTCTTAAGCCAAAACCAGCATAGCATGCCCAACCATCTGTGGAGTAAGGATACCTAAAGACACAAGACACACCAGCTGGTGATTCCCTGGTCTTTCATCAGGCTCAACTGGCCACCCCGGTTTCCTGGCACTGGATGGGGAGTCAAAGGGCCCTCAGATGTAAGACTGGGCCCTGCCTGTCCAGCTTAGGCACATCAGACAACCTGCCACTACCCCCAGCTTTTGGCCCCCCAGACCCTCAGCCAGCACTCACCAGGCGTTCAGACATGGGAGTCTTGTCCCCATCAGGAAGGTGCTGCTCCAGGGCCAGAACAATGCAGTTGGCGATGATGGTGGCCAGGATCATGTATTCGAAGGGCGTGTGTGGGTTAAGGACTGGCTAGGAGGCGCTACGGAGGTAGTGAAGATGAGGACGGCGGCGCAGTGCAGTAGCCAGGGCTGAGTACTGCTGGCCGACACCCACCTTCCCCGCTTCAAGGCTAGTCTTCTCAGCTCCCCGCCCTACTTCTGGGGGCAGCCAAGAGGCGGGGCCTCTGCAGTTGCCCAGCCCCTCCGCTAGTTCCGACGCCGTCAGCACCACGGACAGCTGCTTTGCCTAGCCCGCCAGCGCCACAGGGGAACCCTCCTGTAGCCCCCCAGAGCAGCAGAAGCGGGCCCCGCGCAGGCGCACACCCTACCTAAAGACACAGCCACAAGTATCTACACCCGCACGTGAACATAATGTACCACGAATGCCGAACACACGCACGCGCAGCACCGGCTCATGCGATGCCCGCACACAAACGCAGGCACCTGCAGTCAGCACGCGCACGGACCTGCATCCACTCCGCCCTCACACCTGCAAGCCTCAGATTCGCCCTCCCGTGTCCTCCAGGCCGGCCGCATGCTGTGTGACCCAACCTGGCTCCCCAAGACCAAGTGCACGACGAGACAAGCCCCAGGTCAGAAGGGGCTCCGCCCAGCGTGCTCCCGGTCCGTCGTGGCCTCCACGACCACACACGCGCACACCCAAACCACGCACACACGCACTCGGAGACCGCCCCAGAGGCTCCGCCCCGCTCCTCCTCGCCGGGCCGTGGGGTCCGCGACGCGCCTCTCCCGGGTCGCACCCCCTCCCAGCACCAGAAAGATGGCCACTGGGCGCCTCCGCCCAGGCCCCAGCCGCCCCTCCCGGACCCGCCGCGCGGACACCGACGTCGCCCCTGCCCCTGACCTCCGCCGGTCCCCGCCCGCCCGGCCAGGCCCCCGAAGGATATGGCCACTCGGTGATGCGCTTAGCGTATTTGCGGACGACGTTGTCCTCGCTGAAGACGAAGAGCGAGCGGTTGACGGTGAAGCAGTTCTGCTTGACTGGGATGGGGTTGTACAGGGCCATGGTCCGGGCGCGCTGCGCGATGGACTGCTTGTACAGGACCCGCTGGCCCGGCGGCAGACCTCCCTGGCCCGG